AAAAAATAGCATTGTAGGAAAAACAGAATTTTTTTTATGTTTTTGTGCCAATTTTTGAAAACACAATAAGGACTGAAGGATGCTAGGATCTAGAAGACTGCCAGAGTGTCTCAGGCTTAAAAATTAAGGATTCAGGAACTGAGTCAAATGTTTTATACAATAATTAAGAAGATATTTTCAGTTGTATGGAAAGCTTTGCATCAGCAGTACAATGTGTTCAGGTACATATACAGTGGTGCGATTCAGCTAGTTTGCACCACTTTGGCAGAACCGATAGCTAATTTTTTGTTGCCCAGGCCCAGAATGGACTTCTGGAAGTGGCATCTACACAGAGAATCAGTTGTTTACATATTTAAATCCCACCTCTGTAAGTATATGTGTACATATGTGTATTAAAAAAAAAATGGATGGCTCCTGCAACTCATTTTTTTGCTGACTAATTCCTTTCCAAAATAATATCTGGCAGAGAAAACAAGAGGAGTCCTGAATTTTTTATACAATTTGTTACTTTACTTCATAGAGTTTATAGACCTAATCCAAACCCTTGTTCTTTAGCGAAGAATAAAGAGAAAATTCTATTATTTTAGTTCCTGGAGAATACATATAGAATCCTGATGAAACCCAGAAGTTCTTGCCTTATTCTAGTCTAAAATATAACCCAAGAATTTTTCAATGCTCTTTCATTCAAATATGTATATACCACTAAAACTATTGTGTAAGTTTAATTATATGTAACTGTCAATTGAACGAAATGGTGGAGCACAGTTTTTTAATCAAATGGGCTAATTTACAGAATTGTCCAAAATCTGAGACCCATTATTCTTGTGGGACTGAAATTTGACAAAGTTGTGGCCACTTCAGTGCAGTTATGCTGCTGCTCCATTTCACTGCTGTAGTCAGCCACAATCATCTCCTTTCAAATATTCCCTGCAAGCTTCCTACAAGAAGAAGCCATCAGGAAGTCAAAATTTGATCCTACTCCTATCACTTTTTTGTTCAACCATGTTTTTTCTATTTCTTCTATCTATTCCCTTAACAGACCATAACAGAAAATTCACTTTGTAAATCTTATGATATTATTGGGGCACATACATTGGAAACTAAAATTTCCTAGAGCAGAAATCTGAAAATTATTATAAGTAATTTATACTTATTAATAGAGTATATAACAGCAGATTTCCACAAAATTCCAATCAAATTGGTAGAAACAAAAGCACCAAACTTAAAGCAAGAAAGTAATATTGGGGACAACAAATTTTATGCTCAGAAGATAATCAATTTTTATAAATAGTTACACTTCGGATGTTATAGTAATCATTTGTTACAAGCCATGTCATATTAACTTTTTGGAAAGCTTCAGCCAAATTGAAGCCATCCAAGTGAAGCATGATAATTATCAGTTAGGTTTCTTAGTTTTGAATAAAAAGTCACCCTTCGAGGAATTCAAATTATATTGTCTTATAATTCCTCCTCCTCCTCCTTCTTCTCTCTCCTCCCTCCCTCTCTCTCTTTCCTGTAGTCTAAGCCATTATTTCACTTCATACAAGGCACCTTTGAAGTAATAGGATTTTTAGCTGTTAATATTTTTAGCCAAAACATCTCACTTCACTTAACAGACTGCATTCTTATCAAGCAACTCAACCATTGCTGCTTAAAAGAAAACAGTTGTCTACATAAAATTGGAAGGGAATTAAGAGCTAATCAAATTCAATCCTTTGCAAACTCGCAGGATTTATTTATTTATTTATCTTAAACTTTTTATTAATTTTCCAATGTTACAATTATATCTTTGAAAAGCAATGTGATGTCTGAGTTACAATAATTCCATTACATACAAATATTATTAATACAAATCTCCAACTATTACAGCCAATATTTCCTCTCTTTTTTTCCCTTAATACATACTGTCTCTTGTTTAAATTAGTATACTTCTTATTCTATCCATCAGCTACTTAATAGCTTTCTTACATTTATCAATAATTTTATATGTCTTATTTATTTTAACATTCCATCTTTTGGACCATCAATAACCTTATGAATTTTCCCAGCTTTAATTTTGCGTTGATATTTAAATTAAATGTTTAATATTTATCATTTTCAAATTTTTAAATGGCCCCAATTCCCTTTGTCATAATTCCCCCCAACATCTAGTGTTCCAAATACATATCTTATCTATCTCACTTCTATATGAACAGATTTAAGGATTTAAGAGAGGTAGCTCTCACCCAGTTCTTTCCATGCTGCTTTGAAATTGCCAGATGGTGAGTGTGACTTCGGTTGTCTAATGCCTAATGATGAGCCATATCTCTATGGCCAGTCTTTCATCTGCCGGTTTGGAGGGATTCGCCAGCTCTAGCAGGAGAGCTACTGTTCTCCTGTGATCCAGCGAGAGACCCTCCTTGCTGGTCGCCTCTACGCGGTGACTTTCAATCCTTTTCAGGGCCCTCCAGCGAAGTGAAACTGGATGGCGGAGAGAGAGCAAATCTCCCAGCTGTCCATGGCAGCCGTGGCAAACCAGAAGTCAAACTGTAGGATTTACTATACCATGTCAATATATGACTATCCAGACTTTGCTTGAAAACTCCCAGTGAAGGGGAAGGAACTACTCCATGCAGTATCCTATTCCATTGATTGATAGCTCTTACTGACAAGAACATATTCTTGTATCTACATCTTTGATGTTTCATCCCATTCTAGGTTTATCCACTGGAGCAAGTGAGAATAAATATGAACCTCCTACAATATGACAGTCCTTCAGAGATTTTTAAGATTTTTAATATCCTCACCCTCTTTTCTGTGAGCTAACCATCTTTTAAATGTTCCTGATATGACTTGGTTTCCAGTCCTTTCAATGTTTTGCTAGCTCTTCATGGACTTCTTCCAATTTATCACTCTTAATTACTTAGCCAAATGAGGAAGAAAACATTAAGGATTTATCTTTGTTCATGCTATGCAGTTTATGACTAATTTTACAGAGGAAATATATAAAACTGGATACAGAACTTTCCTTCACTGAGTAAACCATCTCTAGTTTGGACAACAGAAAAAATATAGTTTTTAAAATATCTGTACTGTTTCTAATATTTCCACATTCACATTTTTGCTTGAGATTCACAGTTGACAATCTACCTACTTGTATCAAGCAGAAGGTAAGCTAAGGAACTGCCATTTATCACTACTGCTATTCTTAAAATATTGTTTAGCAAAAACTTCTGTTATTTAAAGATGAATATAGATTACAGTTCTTAAAAACTTAAAAACCAAAAATAGCATTAAACTGTAGATGAAAATTGATGTATACATATTTTTCTCATCTATACTTTTATGTGCATTTTTATGTAGTATACAATTTTGTACATAATGTACATCCAAGCAGTGATTTTCTCTGATAATATATTCTATCTTTATTTTTGTAATATGAGATGTTTTCATGTTTTTTTCCCTATTAAAAAAACTCATTGTTATCAGCCATTCAGTTGTATCTGACTCTTGGCCACTTTATCAAGCAGCACTCTATCTTGCACCATCTCCTTCAGATCTTCCATGGTCATCCGGGAGTCAACCTCTATAGTCAGTGGGTTCCATTGATTATTTCCAGCATAATTGATTTTTTAAAGGGAGTCAGCTCACATGACATGGCCAAAATATGATAGCCTTTGTTTGGCAATCTTGGCTTCGTGTGATATTTTTGGTGACGCTCGGTTTGGGATTTCTTTATTTGTGATTTTTGCAGTTCATGGAATGTGTAATAGTAATCTCCCCACCACTACCATTATGATGAGGTATTATTGACAGTGCTTGTTTTATTAAAAAAAAAAGGTGCCGGAACTCACACACATCATACAACCCGCCTTGCCTACCCTATAAGGTTCTATCCAAAAAAGGTGCCGGAACTCCGTTCTGGGCGTTCTATGACAAAAAAAAAGCCCTAATTATTGAACTTTGTATGAGGAGTTGTATCAGTGTAAATAATTATATTTCAGATCAGGTGTGAATGGATTTCCATGCCTTAGTTATTAATGATCAAGTCCTATTAAATTTAATGGGATAGACTTTTGAGACAATACTTCTGTATTGCAGAAATAAAATTTAGGACTTAAAGGAATAAATTTCACCCAAGATGCCAATTATAGACAATATGAACAACAGAAAAGAACAATTTTCTCCTTCTATATGTGGTTGATTAAGTGAAGCAAGGACACAAAATAAAATTAAAAATAAAACATTTTAGTCCTGATCAATAGAGAATATAGTACTTGGCAGAGCCAAAAGCAAAGCTCCTTTGAGATATTTTATATGCATTAGACAGTAACAAGCATTGTGATATCATGTCAGATAATAAAAAATGAGGACAAAGAAACCAGTACCTTTGAAAAGTATATAATGTATTTATGTACTATCACATATTTTTTATGAAGCTCTCATTATGGTCAGGATTGGACAAGTAATTACTGCTTTCTGGTTTAAGACACAATACAACTTGGTCTAATGCCTACACTGCTGTTCTGTTATTGTATTGCTGAGCAGGGAAAAAAATAATCATTTCTCAGATGGCTTGATCTGAAAAAAGATTATCAATTACTCAGCTTACATGTTTGGCTTGCAGCACTTGGCTAAAAATCAGAGTATCATAACAATTAGAAAATAAAAATCTTGCTCATCCATGTTAATATTTGATCCAGCCAAAGGAAGAACTTCTGATTCATTTTCTCTATCTAGAGATGCTTGGCTTGGGGTTGGCCACAGATCTGATTCTTGGCCACAAATCTCAATCTGCTGTGAGAGATGAAATATATAGCATTTGTTCTAACAGAAAAATCCTGGATTATTTCTCTTTAGGAAACATTACCTAAGATGGTCATTTTTTTTGCTTTCATAATAATTGCATGAAGAAGAATAGTGACTAGTATTTTATATTCTGTATTACATTTATAATGTGAAACCAAGAATTTGATCTGTTAGAAACATAAGAAAAAAGTTCCATTACAGAGTATAATTACCTGTCATATCACAGTAAACTTTCAAAGGTCCCAGTGCACCACTGCCATCTGGATCTATCCAGTAAGAACCTGTTGTTTTACCCAAATGTTTATATGCTTCACAGGAGACTTCATAAAGAGCTGAAACAAACAAAACCAGTAATTCAAGTAAGTAACCTACTCAGAGATTTGGGAAAAGTACATTTTCAGAAAAAGTCATAACACTGTAAGAAAAGTTGTGAAAGAAGCATTGTAACACTCCATTACTTTCACTAGAAAATCGACATCAGATGTTTCCTATTAAGCAGCATATAAACAGGAAATTTTGCTTCAGTTGCTAAATAGAGATGGTCTGATGGGATCAGAAGATGTAGAATGTAGAATAGAAAAGAGCTGGAGATAGGGAGCCAATTCAGGAGAAAAGGAAATACTATGCGTTCAGCTGCTTATAACTGCATGCTTGTTTCATAACTGCAATAGTTATTCATTTGTTCCTTCCATTTTTTTATGTACTTATTAATAAATTTATTTGCCTTCCAATCTTGCCAGGATCTACTCTGGATGATTTACAACAGTAAAGTGGGAAAAATGTAAACATAATAAATAAACATAACAATATCAAGGCAATAAAATAATAAAAATAAACAAGGAAAATACCATAATATAGATGGAGGTAGAGCAGGAAGTGCAGGTGGGAGGAAGAGTCAACCCCAATCCAATAGCCAGTTCTAGTGCAGTACTTCCCTATTGGGTCCCCAATCCAACAGCAGAGTCAGGACTCCAGAACCTTGTAGATGATTAGGGGGGCAAACCTTACCCCAGAGGGCAGGATGTTCCAGAGGGTAGGTACTACAATAGCAAAAGCTCTTCTCTTAGATCCTCCCACCAACCAGGTTTCCTTGACTGAAAGGCTCCACAGCAGACCTCCTTTCTCTGCTATAGAGTTTAGGCATGGGATGATCCATCAAGTAATGGATGGGATGATCCATCAAGTAATAGTGACCCATGTCATGGAGGGCTTTGTAGATCATAAACAAAACCTTGATATGCACCCAGAAACAAATCAGCTGTCAAACCTGACTTGACTCTAGTTGCACTTGCTGTCCATCACAGTTTGCCAAACAACAAGTGAGAGGGATGAGCAAATTCCTAAGGGGGAAGGAAAGCTCTGGAATGCAAGATTGCCTTTGTTGCTGGTGAGATGTTAGACATCAAGGTCAGGTTATGAAATGTTTGAGTAGCACAAACAGTCTTTTCCCAAAACAAAAGAACTGAATCCAATTGATGAATTATAAACTGTGGGTGGTCCAGAGTGGGAACAGGGGTTTTACTTATGGGGCTTTCACAGGAAAAAAATCCCAGAATTGTCTTTGCTTCTACTGTACCTAGATGGATCTTTCAATAAAGCTATACTCTTGATAATTTACAAGAGCTGAGAGTTTCCTTAGTTGAATATGCCAAATGGGAGAGTTCTCATAGTAGTGCCTACCTGGACCCACCAGGAAGCCAAAGACCAAGATGTTGGCAGCAGGCAAAGAATCAGAGAAGAAACCAGAGGAGCCCCTGGCTTAAGAAGCCCCAGAGCCACTGCAGGATGGAACAGGGGCAGGCTTGCATCCCAAACTGAGTGTCAGGTACCAAGATCTCTATTGGGATTCTGTCATTCTGGTGGGAGGAGGGAACTTTGGGGCTTCTCTATGATATATCCATTTGGCTTTGTTCCTCTTTTACTTTGATGAATCTTCCTGGGAACTGGGGGAGGGAGGAGGCCATCTGGCTTATATCTTGCTGCAGAAGAGAAAGGTGCAAAGACCCAACAACATCTTCACAGGCATGCGAACAGACTCTGTTATCAGCTCCATTCCATAGTGGGGATTGGCTCATTTGAACTGACTGGATAAACTATTGGGGTGGGGTTTGCTTGAGCTCTTTTAATCTATTGATCTGAGAGGGAAACTGTCAGATCCTGCCTTCAATGCCTGCTATCAGCTTCTCCTAATAAAAGTTCCTTTTGGAATGAAACTGTTCCAAGAGTCCTGCTTTCTTGGGATGAGGTTTTGAAGTGGGTCCTTACATTAGGTAGGATCTGCAATATCAGTCAGCCTGGAAGGAAGGCCCTTACCAGGGGACTGCACAAACGATGTCTGAAATCAGCACGGAGGGGAGAACCTGCCATGGGGGGGGAGTTTTCCCACCAGGCAGGCCCCAGGAAATACAGCTCCCAGTCCTCAAGCTCCTCGAATGAGGTAGTAGTCGCTGAACGTTGAGACAGACCAAGGTGGTCAATGGACATTGGCAAGAAGGAAGACTGGGAGAAGAAAGCTAGGAAGGTGACCCTCAAGCGTGGCAGTCACCAGCTGGATTGGAAAGTCAAGAGGTTGCTTCGCTTCAGTGAAAATGAGGATAACAGGCCACCTGATTCCAACCAGTTCCTAGAGCAAGCTATTGATATGCTGAGAGTTGCCTTCAACTCCCTGAATGAAGAGAAAGCCGATCCATGCCAAGGCACCCAGGTTCACCTGAGAGGACAGAAGAAGGTGGGGTTGAGGCAGCAATCCTAGGAACTTCTGCTGGTACCATGGAAGCAACAATCATCACCGCAGCCACACAGTCACCCCTGGCTGGACTGCACCAGTTGATGGTGATGGACACCGACCAAGAAGTTCCTTCTGCTGGGTGTGAGGTATAGTGGAGAGCCACATCAGATGGTTTTTCTTGACTCAAGTCTTAAACTACATGGAAGAATATGGCCAAGAAATACCCAGCGATCGCGATTGGATAAGGATTGTACAGACGGCCCTAAATGGCAACAGTGCTGAATAGATGGTGGATCTCCATGATGCTGATGCACCAGAGCTGCAAAATTTCAACCAATTCATGGCAGCTCTCTGGAGACAGTTCAAAGACCCTTTTGGCTGGCCAGAAAGCCTGGGAGTGCAACAAGATTGTCAGACAAGGGCGACGGCCCGTAGCTGAATACATACAGAAATTCCAGCAAGCTGAACTGGCCTGGGATATCCTGGTAGGTCATTTCAAATACGGCCTAAATGATGTTTTGTATTATGCTTGCATCCCTCGGGGAGATCCTGACCAGCTCCAAGAGTAGTACATCTTAACTGAGGAAGCAGAAATCGATCATGCAGAAGGCAGTGAAGTGGAGGGGGGGGGATCCTGGGAAAAGTCACCAGCAGAGCCACCTCAAGAACCGACAAAACAAACCTCTACAACCCCAAAGGCAACGGGCTGTTTCAAATGCGGGAAGGATGGGCATCGTGCAGCTCTGGGCCACTCGAAAACTCCCAACAGGAAGCCTGATTGCACTGCCAGGGGGAAGCCTGGGAAAACTCCACCAAAACTGAAGGAGACAGTGATGAAAAGTGTGGAGTTTGTCAAGTTCCCGGACCTGTCAGGCCAGACAGGAGGACCTCCAGTCCAGCCAGGAGTATCCAATTCCTCAGAGGACAACTCAGAAGACTCTGGTAAGTGGACCCATCATGTCCCTCACCAGGACCATAGAACTGTTTAGCCCAGGGATGCTGGAGAAAGTTGCACTTAGAGCCCTGATAGATTCCGACTACACTCGCTGTCTTATAAGCCCAACCCTAGTGGGGAATTTAGGGATTCCAGTGAGAAAATGAAGGAGCAAATTTTGTTTGGTCCATTGCAGAGGGACACCAGCCACCCTTGCCATGTTACCCATCCAACTTATTATAGGGGATCGCGTAGAGACTCTAATGTTTGTAATGACCCCTGGAATGGAATGCCCACTCATGGGGTATGGCAAAGCTAACCAAGTGGAACTCGAGGGTGGACTGGAGAACAGGAGAACTAAGATTCCCAAAGGGACAGTAGAAGTGGAAGTCCTGGCTCAGACAAAAAAGAAAGGGGGGGGGTCTCCTGACAGTGTAGCAGCAGTGAGGGAGAAGGAATTGCAAGGCATACCAGAGGAATATCGGGATCTAGCTGAAGTATTCAGCGAAAAGAGATCTGATGAATTGTCCCCCACCGGCCCACAGATTGTGCTATTGAAATATTCTTGGGGGCAATATTACCTAAGCCAAAAATATACTTCATGACCCCATGTGAGCTAGAGGAATTACAAAAGTTCATAGACAAAAATCTGGAGAGGGGATTTATCCAACTAGTGAAGCCCAAAACTGCAGCCCCTGTATTATTTCGTGAAAAGAAATAATTACTATCTCTCTTTGTTTTATCTTTCTGCAGGTGGATCTTTCTTTTTCTTAAGGGGGGGTGGTGGAATGTCAGAACCCATTTCCTGCTGGGGGGGTTGGTTCTACCCTTTTCTGGTTTCTCTCTGTGGGTTCTGTCATTCTCCTGAGGGGGAGGGGAGAGGATCTATGGGGTGAATTATTTCTTTCGCTTCACTATAATGTATCCACTCTGCTGTTTCTATTTGCTTGCTCTTTGAACTGTTTCCCTTTGATGTCAACCTGGAGGGGAGAAAGGAATGTGCCTCTGGCCATCTGGCTTATATCTCACTGCAGAAGAGAAAGGTACGAAGACCCAACAACATCTTCACAAGCATGCAAACAGACTCTGCTATCAGCCTTGTTCCCACAGCAGACTTAACACCTGGGGATTGGCTCGTTTGAACTGACCGGATAAACTATTGGGGTGGGGTTTGCTTGAGGCTCTTTTAACCCATTGATCTGAGAGGGAAACTGTCAGATCCTGCCTTCCATGCCTGCTATCAGTTTCTCCTAAAAAAAGTTCCTTTTGGAATGAAACTGTTCCAAGAGTCCTGCTTTCTTGGGATGAGGTTTTGAAGTGGGTCCTTACAGAGAGGGTTATTTAGGGCTGATGCAAAAAAAAAATAATAAAAATATTGCCAGTTTATGACTGCAATTGAAATTTGTTCTTATCTTTCTTACAATATGTACCAAAGATAAAAATCAATATTTTGCTATCAGAAAGGGTCATAGAATTAAGGCTCTGTGCCCTCTACATTAGTAGTCATTCAATCAAATTACTCCCATGCCACAATAGACTAAGATTAGATTCTCAAGAAACTTAGTTTCTTATAGAGTGTCTCAGTTTTAGAAATCCTGTATATATAGCATGGATCTTTCTGGCCTAACTTCATTTATACACATCCATGTACCTTTTCTTATTAGCAGCAT